AAAAGGTTGAAAAGTTCAAGGGGGCCGAATACTTTCGCAAGGCACTGTAAGTGCTCAAAACAAACAGTGGGCAGTGAACAGTTAAATCTCTTATTAACTTGTTATTAGTAAGTACTCCATTTTCTTGTATTCATTTTTTAGATTGTCTGAGTAGAAATAAATAAAATTGTACAAAAAGAAACAAGAAAAAAGTATAAATTTGCCCTTTAAGACACCCATCGTTACCTCTCATTTTATGTAATATATAATTATAATAAATAATAAATAATCATTTATAAGAAATATCTAAAATATATCTGTTACTGTATATATTATGACAACTGAAGTAGGATCCACAGCCAGAATGTTTTATTTTCTTTCTTCTCTTTTCAGTATGGAATACATCTATTACTTGTTCCTTTGCAGCCTACGCATGCTGACACAGCTACCGAACTAAACTATTATATAGTTATATAATATATTACATATAAATATAATACATTTTAAATACAGGCTCCCAGTTTAGGAAACATAAACAATTTTAGGGGGAACCTTTCATGGCTTCTGGACCACCACTCAAATCCTCATTAAAATATCCATGTAAAGACTCAGAAACTTCACAAAATATCCTTCTGTAGTAGAGCGCAGGAACTCACCATTTGTTTTAATTGTTTGCTTTTCATTGTGAGTTTCTAGATGGTAGAAGTTCTAATTAAAATGACAGAAATGTGTAGATTTGATATTAATAATATTAATAAAGGAATATTCTTTTAATTATCAAGAACTGACCATCTGATTTGGAACTTCTAGCATCTTGCATCTTATTATCTCATTTTTTATTTATATCTTGACAAGCAAAATATGAAACTTTTATGCTGGAATACTTTTGTCATTTATTGATGTAATAAATGTAATCAATTTGTTAGGCATTACATGTTGTTAATGAACGTCTCGAAAAGGTTTGTTTGATTTACAAATGTCTTTGCTATTTTTATTTCTCTTTGCTATTCTATTTCTATAGTGTGATGAATGAACATTTATCAGCAATGAGAGTACAGTGATTAGCTATAATTTGCATTAAAGATTACTATGCAATGAAGAAAACCCAATTGCTTTAGATTTATAAAGGTTAAATATTCAGGTACAATTGGCTCATCTCGTAATTAACAAATCTTGACAAGTCTGATTTAATTTAATTTTAAGTGAGATTAAAATATTTTCATCATTCATCATTTTCAAGTTTAACTGAAAATTCAGAAACAAGTTTTTAGAACTTTCCCCTGTTATGTCAACCTCCTAAAAAGAACATTTCTTAAACATATGGTATTCTTAGGGGGTTTGATTTAAATATATAACAGTATAAATAAATGTCATGCCCAGACCAGCAGCAGCTCACAGTCCAAAATTGCCCTGGGAAACCAGGTATATAATCCATGAAATGCCACTGAAGAGGTGCTCTGACATTGAGATATCCTGTAACAGTGCTGTGCTCTGTTCCATTGGTTGGGCTAATGAAACCCTG